GTATATTCTACAAACCTTACTATGCACTTATACTTTCCGTGTATTCACTATTTTTGTATTTGTTCTGTCTTCCTTTCTTTGTTTGAATTGTAATGGTTCGCAACAGATGGCTAAATGACTTCCTAACGTTTTTAAAGCATCAAACAAAGGGGTCTTCTTTATTTGCTGGTATGAATTTATGGCATTGTCTAAAATTAAGTTGTTTCAGCGGTTGCACGACAAGTTTGGCAACAGTTGACCGGTTGACAACGTGTCATTATATTTTTTTTTTGATATTTCGCACTAGACGACCACAAAGTTACACACTGCTTCGTTGTTCTTACGCAAAGACTTGGAATTAGAACTTCTATATATTCCACCGCTATCACTCCCGCGCCTTAGTAATTGAAATTTGTGCGCTTGTCAGTTAACTATGTGTAATTAAAACGTGCACTTGAAGTGTATTTCGAACACACGATAAATTTCAGTCTAGAGGCAAAACGGACACCTTTTTGCATCCCCATAGATCTTTGTTTTAATTCTTGTTCATATATTTTTTTATTTTTACTCACATTATGTTATATAATCTCATCAATGTTTTGGCTATAAATTATCTCAGTGATTGACAATGGGAGTTATATCTGTGTGGGACGATTTTGAATTCCGCCCAGACAACAAAAGTTCGAGAAAATAAAATACGTGCTACAAGATCAGCAGTTCCCGCCCTGAAATAGTCTATTCTAATTCCTAGCTTCAAAAGAGTCGATCTCTGTCGGTTTACACTATGATATCGGATAATATATTTAAGGGTATTTTACAATTGACTTAAAATAGTAAACTATGATAGTGGGAAAGTTCTGCTCTTACAAAAATCAATATCTGTGATGATCAGGTGGGTTGTGGAGGAGGTTCCAGTTGGATTAACTGGAGTTAATTAAAAAATTTTTGACATTTGTTTCTCCATAGTTATGTATCTTCAGCATTTCAACCTTCATTTGAATGAATATATTCTGTTGTTTTTCAATTTCCTCAGTGTAGCTTTGAACTAATGCCAAACTCATTTTTCACTGTGACAGTCCACTTCATGACTCTTACAGTGCATTACAACAGATCACGGAATGAAATGTGAATCTTGCCAGTGGCGGGGGAAGACTTCTAAACGCCCACAGAGTGCTTAAACGGAAAAGGAATTAGCTCTTGAGCTCTCCACCCTGTGGTATTTTTAGCTTTTTGTTTTAGCCTTCTTTAACAAATTAACCTAATGAAACTGTTTGCAAAAGCGTTGTATAAAAAAAGCAAATGTCATGGGGGCCGACATTGCATTGAACAGTGAGCATTTACTGACATTTTAAAAATCCCTTTATTCTCTCTTGAACTCTACACTTGTGATGGATTAATAACATCTCAGTCTCTCAAGCATCAGAGCTGAATTTAATATTTTTTTGTCGTTGATGCAGTGATTATTTTCTAAACGACCCCTGACAAGTTGTCACCCTTTATACTTGGCCATCATCTTCGCGACATCTGGGCGGAGAAGCTAACTAGCACGCCATGTTTCGGTTAAGCCGCACAACTGAAACTATACACCGGCAACACATTACAACGACAGCCTCATAGAATTCAGGACACCAATGTCTCAAGAGGTTTTTACCGCAAGGAAATGCTCCATTCGCTTTTGCAACTGATACGACATGATCTAGAATCTATTGCCGATCTGAAACAGATCCTTCCTAAAATCTGATAGAATCTTAGTCTTTCGGTCTCTAGCTAAACTTACGCAAATTCGAGCGACAGTATTACAAGGTAGCAATCCCTAACCGGT